GGGGGGGGAGGAGAGAAAGGCGTTAGTAGTCGGATAGGTAGGACAGACTGAGACAGGCAAAACTGACAAAAATTGAATTTACGGATGTAAACCTATTGTATATACGGTAGATAGTAGTCGGGCCTGAGAAAGTGAATAGAAAGCAAAGACAGTTCAGCGCATTTTCCTCACTGCAAACAACCTTACGCGATTGAAGCTATCACGCTGCGCTAAAAGCTGCGGATGGGAAGATTCCTAACTGACGGGATAGCTCGAACCGCACAGTCAATCCATTGTGTGTTTGTGGGGAGTGGCCAAATGCAATGGCTCCTTCTTAATGTGGCCTCTTTGGCACAATCCTTCAGTTTAATCCGAAGCAGATGTGGCGGCACGCTTAGGGGCTGCTCCAGTCGCGAAAGCCGCCTGTGCTCTATCCAGTCTCCGTTTTTTGACCTGGCCATGACACCAGACCCAATTGGGGATGGAAGAGGGAGTGCAGTAAATGCAGTGCAAGTCGCCCTGTTGTGGGGCACATGACGGGGCTCGCCAGATATGGTGTCGTGCATACATAACTGTTTTAACTTGTACTTATTCAGACTAGGTTTATGGAAACGCAACAGATTTAAGGCTTTCTCAAGGCTAAAGTACAGAAACTATCTCTTATCGGCTAGAAATAAAGCTGATATTAAATTCTGCAACAAAATATAGAAAGTAGGAGCAGAACAGGGTGCAAAAAGACCTTCAGTAGGGCTGGGTGATCCGGCCATTCGCAGAGGACCTCCTGGACACGAGTTCGTAGTCTTTGGATTAGACACTGAGCGACGTGTGCCTCTGAAGAGGGAATAGGGTCTCTGTATACGTCCAGGTAGGGCTTTCGTCGTAGAGGTTGTTGGCTGCTGGCGTCGGCGGCGGCTGGGGTGGCCAGTAGGGGCTCCAGAGCGAAAAGATCTCGATTGGCGGTCTCCGGATTACCATCCTGAGCCAGAAGGGCCAGTTTGGCAGTTGCCAGAAGGTGGGCAGCGGAAGAGACAGCGTCGTGCGAATGCGCTGTAATGCGAGGACAAGAAATAAACAGTATAGAAAGGGAGCACAACAATGCTCTACAAAATTAAACCACCAGACGGACAACGATGGCCGTTTGAGCTTTCAAATATTGGTGCACATGCACAGGACACTGGAGGCTCGCGCCAGCCCGTCACTGCGTCCAACCGTATCACCAGTCAGTTTGACTCGGACAGGCCTCATATGGATGGGAGAATATGGGAGTCGAACCTGAGGTAACTCTCCTCATGGGCAACCTGACGCGATGCAAGTCGTGGATTGGAAGGTTGCCCGGTGAAAAAAATTATACGTTGCTCAATCTCACCGTACCCTCTAGGATAAGAGCATTCTATGCGGGGTGCGTTAAACCCTTTCTTGTTATGAAAATATTCGCCTGGAGTCAGGAAGCAGGTCATATGTGGAACGGACAAATGAGCTGCCTAGCTCAATCAGTCACGGAGCCTAAGCGCATCCTTGTTCGTCCAGTTATTCCTCCGTCAGTGTAACATGGTGGGTGTTTGAATATAAAGCGGTGTACGTTGTGCAAATCTGCTCTACTACGCATGACTTCATCCACAAGTAGTTAATGTGACCTGCAGGGGACAGTGGTGGTCCTCAGCGCTTGCAACGGTGGTTGATAAAAAAATTAAACTACCAACAGACAGTAGGCTACAAGACACGCAGGTGCTTATATGCTCATTTTGGTGGCAGAAAAATAGAAAGTTTATTCTCTATCTCCGGGTTCTGAAGTTCCTTAAAGCTACTTCAAAAATTGACTTTGAACATAGGAATCTCCGGAAGGAAGGGCCTGCCTGCTCGCTTAGCTTTGGGACATCCGGTGAACTCAGGGGAACCTGGCAGTGAGCTATGAATTTCGTGAAGACACCAGAGTAGGAAGGAGAAACATATATAAGCAAATGATTGAGGTTGCAAATTGGCAGGACAAAAAAAATTAAGAATTCCACAGAAGTATTGTGTCAGGAGGCCTCCTTATCCATAAGACCAAAACCAAGAGCAGGCGACCAATTAAAATAGGGCAGCGTTAAGGCTACAAATACGCAGCAACCATCGATCCTTTAACTGCACCAGGATTGACTTGAAATGAATAACTTCAATCGCAGAGGGTGGTGATAATTAAACCACGGTTTGCTATTGGTTTTGGGGTTACATATAGGGATGGGCCAAAAGAGAACCCTAAAAATTCGGTCAAAGGGCTCCCTGGGCAACGGAGACAACTACACGAAATTGGCAGATACTGTATGCTGCAGATAACGCCCAACCAATGTCAAAAAGTTAAAAAAGTATGGCATCTAAAATACCACATAGGTAGAGGCGCATTTGGCGACGTACGTAGTGGATAATTGACTGTGGCAACCAAATCACCCGCAAACTGATATCCCTGCAGGAAAGTGCTCCACCAATGCTGACTGCGAACCTCATCAACGCTCTCTGCCACCTGAGGAGGACATAGGGGTGATACCAGGCAAAGTAGGTAGAGCAGACGGTTCACAAAGTCGGCCAATTCCGACTCTGGAGGCATCCAATCCCTGGCAGATTGCTCTGCAGCGAGCTGTCCCTTCAGCCAATGCTGTACACTCTCGATTTGGTTAACCGCCTAGACAAAAGAGAGCAGTAAAAGGTTAGGCTGAAAGTGAGGGATAGAGGTGCGTTCGTCGAAGAAAAGTGCGACGTGGAAAAGCCTTGGTCAGTGCCAAATCCAAAGAAAGGACTGATTAAACAACTATAAGACTAGAACAGAGGGGACCGCCTATGTGTAAAGAGTTTGTTAGTGAGTTCTAACTGCTTTGAAGAATCGGTCGAATCGATAAGTTAAGAAGGATAAAATAGAGCTTGATGGGTAATTAAAATGAACGAAAACTCGACAAGCGGGAACCCGGTGTTAAATTTAGACTTCACTGGTATTACGTTTTGTCTGCTGAAAGTCTTACCTAACTACTACAGGGACAATCTGCTTTTTATCAAGGGGTGCAGAAAAATGATTGGTGGCGTTCATGGGACTCACCTGGAGAGCAAAGTTAGTACGATAACATCTTGTAGGTGAATAGAATGGCGGTGATAATAGCCGGCGGACTTCCGAGACGGTACGAAGTTCGTGAAGCCGACCACTGTGAATGCGAGTGTAACAGGAGACCACCAAGTCAGTTTACCTAGCAGTCCTTCAGCTAAACAGATGCTCAACTAGTAGAATACCGTGGCCGGCACGTTTTAGTTGGAAGTGACACTGATACATGATGCCGCGAGAAGTTACCAATCCCAAATCGACGATATTAGCAGCCGGAGTTAGAAATTTGGATAGATCAACGTCATAAAACTGTCATTATATGCCGAAGGAGAAGATGTATTGATTGTAAGTGAACGTCCGACACTGCTATTCAGACATTCAATTAACTATCGGGTTCGCAAATTATAGGGCTGGTCAGTTGATTATTGATAAAAAATAAACCCGATGGACGTGCACCGTTTCCCTCCACTCCACCCCCTCCCCTCCCCCCACACAGTCCTCTTTAACCAAAACTGCTTGAAAGGATACACAAATAAGAAAGTAAAAACAGTGAACGAACGAGCTTAAGGTGAAAGGACTGACTCAAGTGACAGCTAAAATAAGAATATACGGCTCTTCTATGATAACATTTTTCGTTTAGCCTTATTGACGCATGACAGGGAGCAGATAAGTAAAAGAAAGCTGTGAATAATTATCGGGGAGAACATCAGCTCCGTCATCAACTAACATAACGTTCAGTAACGTGGGGGGAAATGACCGAAGTGGTTCCATTCTATGTAAAACACAGGGGATCTCACAGCCTTTCAGCGGCAGATAAGAAAATCAGCTTAATGACTGCTAGCGTTTCACCAGTTAGCTCCGAAATTGCTAACTGAACCCTATCCCGGCTATGGTTAAATGGAAACAAGGTTCTAACACTCGAAACTGTACTGAGACATTAGATGGGGATATAAAAATCCCCTATTTTCGAACGTGAAACCGAAAGGAAAGGCAATCATGCAGTACCAGACGAAAGGGAACTCACCTGGCGGATCTGATCATCTCGAGAGAGGTTCATCTCCAGACAGAAGTCATCCCCACCCAGGAGGCATCGTCGAGCCTCTATGGTGCCCGCCTCGGGAAAGCGCAAA